CACTGCCACACAAAAAATAGCAACACTATATAGCATTCCTTGGATTGGAGAGGTGGTGGTGTTTGGAGAAGGACGAAGCCACGCGCTCAATGCACCATCCCTTCCCTCGCCCTTCTCTAAGAACTATTCTCCTATCTCACATCTCCAAAGCTTCTACAGAAGATAGCAGAACAGGTGCATGCCAACAAGAAAAGCTGTTAGCTTCTTTGCTGCAGGAATGATGATAAGAAGAAAGTTTCCTGCAATTGTAGTTACTGTTTACTGTTGCTTCGATGCCTGGCCTGATCGTGGAGTTCCTCTGCAGGTGTTCTTACTATGCTGCATCGTCTACGACAGCAGTTCGAGGGAGAGTGGTGCTGAGATATCATCTCTGTGGAAATGTCTTCTTCTCCGCCGCCGGGTAGTTCCTCATCGTCCTCCAGCCATTCATCTTCCACGTCATCGTCTCCACCACCGAGACGGCCACCAGCTGCTTCCCTACCTCCAACCAACACCACAGATTCATGGCCACCGCCACCACCGTGGGATTCAACTCCTCCTCCGGCCTCGAAAATCTTCACGTTAATACATTTGTCAGATGACGACTCCTCTTCACATCACTCATCATCTAACTCGGATGGTTCCGACAAATCATCGCCGCCACCACCGCCGCCGCCGCCTCCGCCTCCTCCTCCTCCTCCTCCTCCTCCACCTCCACCACCACCACCTTCTTCCCCTAACCAATTGTCGCCTTCCGAGAAATCAACACATTCTGACGTGAACGTGCCTCTGATCGTAGGCGTCGTGGCAGGAGTTGGGCTGTTCTTCGTGCTCATGATCATCGTATGCATTCGCAGCTCCAAGAAGAAGAACAAGCGTCACAATCCAATGCAGTACTACGCAGATGCCTCGGCACACAATGGTAATCCAAGCAAACTTTTAGTCTAACTCTTATCCGTGTAAAATTGTTGAACATGTCTGCTTCCTTGTCATCAATCCTGGAAGCTTAACAAAGGAAACTGGGTTCCTTAATGCTCGCAGACACTGGGCTTTACGGTGGTGGACAGCCCTCGAACTGGGATCACAGGCAGCAGAGTGCCAACCATGTTGTTAAGGTGACACCACCTTCGGGATCCTCGCATGCAGGAAGGTGGCAGCCTCAGCAACATTCGACCATGATGAGCGGCAGCGAGGTGAGCTCGGCCTACTCGGGGCCGCACATGCCGCCCCTGCCGCCACCCTCCCCCATCGTTGCCCTTGGATTCAACCAAAGCACCTTCAGCTACGAGGAGCTTGCAGCTGCAACTGATGGCTTCTCGGATGCTAATCTGCTAGGACAGGGAGGATTTGGGTACGTGCACAAGGGGGTTCTCCCAAACGGGAAGGAGATCGCGGTGAAACAGCTCAAGTCGGGGAGTGGGCAAGGGGAGAGGGAATTCCAGGCTGAGGTCGACATCATCAGCCACATCCACCACCGCCACCTGGTGTCCCTCGTCGGGTACTGCATTGCTGGTGCGCAGAGGATGTTGGTGTACGAGTTCGTCCCCAACAACAGTCTCGAACACCACCTCCATGGTCAGCACTGATTTCAAGTGTCTTCCTCCTCCAACTAAAGATCTATTGTTGCGTCAATCCTTCCGCCATCTATTTGCAGGCAAAGGGCTCCCGGTAATGGACTGGTCGATGAGGCTAAAAATTGCACTGGGATCAGCCAGAGGCATTGCCTACTTGCATGAGGACTGTGAGTGATCTGTCCACTATCGTTCCTTCCTCTGCTCTACACTGCAATGCCTGATTTGTTCGATTCGAATCATCTCGTGAAGGCAACCCTCGGATCATTCACCGCGATATCAAGTCTGCCAACATTCTTCTGGACTTAAACTTCGAGGCCATGGTAAGCTCGTTCGACGACAACAAATCAAACACTTTGGGGTCGAAGTCAAACATGAAAGAGTATCATAAATAGTTCTGTTCTGAACTCATATTGTTGACGTAAAATTGGTTCTCCTGTGGCGAGATTTAATCATGCATGTAGTGGATCTGAAGCTATGACATGTGAGATAACTCATGCAGAAAACATATCCAGGTTGCGGATTTTGGGTTGGCGAAGCTGTCGTCGGACAATTACACTCATGTCTCCACCCGTGTCATGGGAACCTTCGGGTGAGCAAGATGTTCGATCAATCTCCAATGTGGACTTTGGATTTTGAGGCATTGTTCTTTTCTTCTTGACGAGAAGGTATTTGGCTCCGGAGTACGCATCCAGCGGGAAGCTCACAGAGAAATCCGACGTCTTCTCATATGGAGTGATGCTTCTGGAGCTGATAACCGGACGACGACCGTCCGATACCACGCATGCACTCTCGGAGGATTGCTTAGTGGACTGGGTCAGTGCGTCTGCAGCCGTGCTCGTAATTGTGATCTGCTCACTCTGTGTGGCTAACGCTGGTTTACTCGATCCCAACAACAGGCGAGGCATGCTCTCTCTCGCGCCTTGGCTGACGGAGACTACGACGAGTTAGCCGACCCGCGCTTGGATGGCAACTACGACCCGGCGGAGATGGCGCGCATGGTGGCGGCCGCTGCTGCCAGCATTCGCCATTCCGCAAGGAGACGACCCAAGATGAGCCAGGTGAGATCACTGCGTCCTCTGTGCATCGTCAACTGCATCGCTTCTGATGCGACGAGGTGATCGCAGATCGTGAGAGCATTAGAAGGCGACGTCTCGCTCGAGGACTTGAATGAGGGAATGACGCCAGGGCATAGCATGCTCTTCAGCTCAGGCTCAGAGTACGACTCAAGCTCGTACACCCCGAACACCAAACGCGTGAGGAAGGTCGTGATCGCCAGCCCCGAATACAGCGGACAGATCACGGGGCACGAGCGCGGCCATTCTGCATCCAGCAGCGAAGGAGGTCGCTCCGGTGAGCTGAGATCTCATCCCCCGCCCTGACGAGGCACTTGTGCGTCGAACGCATTCCAATGGAGGACGATGCTTTGCCAAGCCCGCAGTTTGAGACGGGCAGGGTGTTCGTCGGGGCTTTGTTGCTTCTGATAAGCGAGGGTCTTTTCTTGTTTATGTAGAGAACGTGTTTAGAGAAGAAGGATCGGAGGATGTTGTACTACACATGCCATTGTTGTTTCTGTAGCTTTTCTCATTTGATGCGGGTTGAGCACATCTCTCGACATTGGTGAACTAATAGATGTTGGTTGGATGCCTTTTGCTATCTGCTTCTGAGTCTAATCGAAGAAGCAGCAGAAGGAGAAGAATGACTCGTGATTGTGATTGGTCCAAGACGGCGTACACAATAGCTGGACTTGGGCCCACGTAGTCAACCAATGACGACGAGGAAATGGTAATGGTGTTCTTGTAATTGTGATGCTTTTGTAAGGGTATAATTCACGGCAGAATAACGACCCCTTGGAGCCAATTCTGTTTTCCCGCTTCCTCTCGTAGGAAGAGAGATGAGCGCAGAGACTCGGGGGAGACGTGCCGGCGCTGCTTGTCGGCGGAGCTTCCTCTTCTCGGAGAAGAAGCCATCGATCGGTGACGAATCTGTTCGCTGCTCGCCATCGACGTTGCCCGCATTAATCTCCGCCCGTTCGGTATTCAGTTTGATCTGGTTCTTGGAATTTCACCTTATCTTTCCAGGGTTTCAGCGACGGCTTGTGTTGTACGATCTTGAATGGATGAGTGGGATTAGTAGCTTCCAGCGATTGAGGATAGAATAGCTTGTTCGAGGTATCTTTTCTAACATCTGCTTCGTGAATCCCAATTTCAAAGATGATTTAAGGCACAGAATCTTGCAGCTATTATTTGCTCGTTAAGTTGTTTTTCGTGAAATTTCAGATGGGTTATATGGGATTTTAGATGAAATAACTGTTCCACTCAGTCATGTTTGATTGGTACAATTCACAGGCCTGAAAGCCTTTTATGTCATAGGAGGCTGGTCCATAATAGTGTCATTGGAGAATCATATGACACTTCTATGAAGTTTAGTCATACCTTCTCTGAAATTGAAAGCCTTTAAAGTCATATGTTTTCATGATGGAGATCCGGCCCATTCCTAGTAACAAGAGGGCAAGCTACTGAGCTAGTACTTTATTTTCCAATCATGCTACAAAGTATTCTCTCTAAAGGAAATTATATGACCTGTCACCAGAAAATCTTATATCAATTTTTGCATAATTTGTCAGACAAATACTGATAACTGTGGAAAATGAACAACATAACTTCTTTTGATCTCAATCGAGAATCATGTTGTAGTTTTCTTTTAGTTGTTGCTTCCTAATTTGTTATTTTCTACCCTTGTGTGTTCACTGAAAAGTGTTCTAATAAATGTTTGTACTACGATTAGAAGACTCCATCATGCTGTTTTTACCCTGGGTTGTTCTTGATGTAACAATAGGTTATGTAAACGCGGTTGATATTAGGTTGAAAACATACTCCATGTAGTCAGATTACATAGCATATAAAGTAGTCACTTATGGAGTTTATAAATGTAGTCCATAACATATAAAGAAAACTCACATGTTTCCATCTAGTAACAATATGGCAAGCTACTACGATAGTACTCTTTTATAATCATGCTAAAAACCTATTCTGTCTGAAAGAAATCTTATGACCTATGTCAGTAGAAAACCTGATATATTTTTTGTATAATTTGTCAGACAAATACTGATACTTATGAGAAATGAACAAAGTACCTTCTTTTGATCTCAATCGAGAATCAGGTTGTGGTTTTCTTTTAGTCGTTGCTTCCTAGTTTGTTATTTTCTACCCTTATTAGTTTCTAATAAATGTTTGTAAAATGGGAAGACTTCATTCTGCTGTTTTTACCCTGGTTTTCTATTTGTGTAACAACAGGTTGTGCAAAAGCAGTTGATATCAAGTTGAAAACATATAAAGTCCACATAGTCATTTATGGGGACCTTTTTTTTCATCAATAGACCACTCAATAACAACTTCAGTCGTTCAACAGATTATTGCGAAACACAAAGCAGTTTTCATAATTATTTCTCTATGAAACAGTGATGGTTGCATTTACTAGCTCTCTAGCTAGCTCACTGATAAGTCCACTCAATACATGCTTCTCCGTATCCCTTATAATTTCATCCTTTTCAACAGATGCAAATATAATGTTGTTCCAACCAATATCCCACATACAATTGATATCTGGCTTCCTATCCTCGATGTCTCTCTTGAGCATCATGCGAAGTAATTCTGCAGTGCTATCATTATTTATAGTCTCACTGGGGAACTTAAGACTCTCAATATCTTCATTCAACTCCTTCATCAGTGCATTCAGGTATCTAACTTTCCCTCGTGCGTGAGGTTTTGTCATGGCATGAATCATCTCTCTTTTCCCTTTTCTCCTCAGTAACTCATATCCACAATCTAAAAGAGGCTTGTTTTCCTCTTTCAGACCAGCTTGGCTGCTGGTTTGTATAACATCATTAGGAATCATGATTTTGAATAGCGCTTGTGCTGTGTTGCGAAAATGCTGATTATTAATCAGAAGTTGCATGAGGATATATTCATCCTCAGTAAGTGAACCTTGTCCATTTGTTTCAGATATTGCCTGATTCTGCGACTTTAAAAGGTTACAGTTGTTGAGCTGCCTGTCCTCAGTTCCACCTGCAACTAAGATATGCAATTGTTAAAATTTCTTCATAATTTTGTTGTGATGATTTCTCGAAATCCAGCTTTCTTTCTAATTTCAATACACTGGCATAAGCAATTTTTTATGCATAATATTTTGATTGGGTGCAAGAAAGTTGTTAATGTTTGCAACATCTGAGTTACCTTCTGTCTGCTTTTTCTCCAAGTTGTGCTTTTCCTTCGAGTTGAAAGGTCGCAGTTCTGAATCTGCACCGAGGGGAACTTCCTTCTCTTGTGAATCTTTAAAAGCTGTTTTATGATTGTCATCATACTGTGGAAAATATATGAGATACTAGTAAACTAATAAATAGAATATAATGCAAATGCTTCATGGTGTTGAGTCTCATATTTCATTTTAAAAAATCATGTACAGGGAATTAGTCAGGTCCTCTGTTCTTCTTCTTTATAATAAGTCTTATTTACTGCTACTTGGAACCAACTTTCTCCAAGGTTTTAATCATAATGCACATTTGCAAAATAACAAGGATATGTGCATTATCTGAGTCACGATTGATGCAGATTGACTTGGTTTCATATAGTGATCGAGGAAAGTATAACTTACATTTGTCTCCGCAACTGACCTCTCCTCTTTTGCTTCGTCTTTGCCATCATCTACCAAGGAATCATCTGAAAGCAAGGTTGATTTAGTTTCCTGGTCTATATGTTGCTCTGAGTTTGTTTCATGAGAACAAACTGTTGCTCTTTTATCCTTGCTGATTCTTTCTTTCCATCTCCTCTCCAGATCATTTAAGAAGGATGATTGCTGGTTTTTTTCATTTGGTCGTTTAATGTACCGAGAATTGTCGCCTTGAACCTTATGGCTTTCACCTCTGTGAACTTTCATGTTTGCTCTATCTACCTTCTTTGCAGTTGGAATATGCACAGGCTTCATCAGTGCTGTCACCAGAATTTGAGGCACGGGCTTCTCTTTATCAGTTCTTGGATATGTCAGTAAGGACTTCATATCATCCGAGTTCTCATATGCTATTTTACCTAATTCCATGTGATCAGAAGTTATGTACATTGTGTTTTGCATTTCTGGATGGCTGCTCTTTGGACGTTCTTTTGGTTGCTCTAAATTTCCAACCTTTACTGAACTTCCTTCTCTGGCAACAACTGTGCCACCAGACAACACCATATTCGTGCTTAGTTTGTCAGTAGATGTCATTGATTTCCAATCACTTTTTGTTGCTGTGCTGACCTTTAACTTGCTGTCTACATCATGGTCTTTTTTTTCACAAAATGGATATTTGGGTTTTACCATGTGGACCGTTGATTTTTGTTGTGTCAACTGGGTTTTTGTCTGATTATTTGCGAGACCTAACCGATCTTGTTCATCCTTCTTGTTTAGGAGTGTATCTTTACTGCTAGCTGCATTGTAATGACACTGAGATGATTTCTCTTTGGTTCTTTGCTGGTCTCTTTCTTGATGTGGTTGAATGATATCCTGGGTTGCTGATTCAGATCTGCTTCTTTTTTCTCTTTTGTCTACCCTTTCCATCAACTTTACCAAATTGTTCTCGGCTATTTCTTCTTTTAAACTGTGGCTGATATCAATGTTTTCGGTCTTCCTACTGATTTCAAGATGTATCTTCGGTGCATTATTGGACAATGGGGTCATGTTCCGCATATAATTTGTCTTCTCCTTGCTGCTTTTGGCCTTGGTTTCTTCAATGGTTATTTCATTTAGAATCTTGTTCCTTCCATAATTCTGCATGAAGTGCCTTTGCGGAGAAATCACCTGTTTTCGTGCTTTTGCATCTGCTACTTGGCCTATTGCCATCTCTTTCTCAGACTTGTCCTTTTTTCCTTTGACTTTTTTCACCTCAGCCTTTAGTGTTGGAAGTTCTTCGAGGCCCATAAGTTTAGCAACGACATTTGGCATTCTTACACTGCCATTTATAGGGCTTCTAGGATCCAACTGTCTGATGCTCTTTGAAGTTGAGGACTTGCCATTAGTGATTGAGAAGTTCCCGAGTTCATCACCATGGTCATGTTTGTGCCTAATGCCTGAATACGGGGAATCAGGCATGGAACCAGGACCACAACTCAGAGACCTTCTGTGCGTAGTGAATTTTATAGATGCATCTAATGAGATCTCTTTATAATTTGAATTAGTCATACTACTTCCGATGTAAGATGAGGTCAAATATCTCTGCCTTTGAATAATGGTATCATCGCTTGCTTTAGCCAATTCAGCGAAGTGTTTGGTGGACCCATCAAAAGAAATCCTGGGCTTGTACATTGGAGTGTTCTTGTTTACTTCGACATTGGATGATTCATCTTCTTCCATGCCCTTCAGCAGTCTGGCCTGCCTCCCTTGAGAGCTGACCATGCAATCTGAACCCTCTTGTAGGATGACAAGCATTTTCAACGAGTCATCCAAATTCGTGGCCCCTTTCAACAATTCCCTTCCAATTTGAATTGAATCCTTCCCATAATTTGATGTATCAGAGCATGTTTCAAGGATTTTATTCAATTTCTGAACACCTTTTGATATTTCACTGATTTGCGCGTTGGTTAAAGAAGGATAACGATCAGCATGATGTCTCGTGTTGTATAATAAGTATTGATTGTGGCTTTCTCTGTAACTAATAGATCCACTATGTGGAATGAGCTCGTTACCAAATTTAGCTGTGTAATGAAGCTTTCCACGATTACTGAGTGCAAATGCTAGCGCCATGGACGCATCAACAGAATTCGGACTGTTTGTGGCTCTTCCAATAGGAACAATCTTCCGGGAACCAACTTTTGGAGCCGCTGTTTTGTTATGTATGGTGCTGAACCATATTTCTGTGACTTCTGTGCTGACCAGATTTTTGCTACTCTGCGAACGCCCACAACAAGAACAGAAAGAACCTCGTTAAATCGTATGTATAGCTGAAGAGGTTCTGTTATTACTTTAAAAGCTGTGTTCAAAGAGCTTACACAGTTCTTTATTGCTTCTGTTCCTCGCGAGGACCTTCGGGGGCTCCCCTGATGCTCTGGAAAAAAATTATGCAAGCGGATGATCAATGTCTGGGTCAATCTTATGCTGCATAAATCTTCGGAATGAGAAATCTATATTTGTCTTTGTCTATCCAGGGATTTACGAAGATTTTACAAGCATGATCATCAGTGTAATATGGTGTTATGCCGCAAGGGCTGTTGCATCTGTGTTCAAAAGATTTGATGAAGCACCGCATTACCAACTTCCTGCCACAATTTCCAGATGAAATGTCTGTCCTTCAATCCCAAAAACAAAGGTACAAAAAGCTATATCTGATCTTTTACGGTTCCTGTTTAAAGTCATTGATACACTGAACATGCTTCGTAAGTACTTGGCAGGATTTTATAATGTTTGTTAATATGATGTCAATTCTCTAATACTGATGCCAAATCCTTCCCTAGGCAAATTTAGACAAGGAAAGGCCCAATGAACTAAGCATTCAGTTAAGCTCTATACTATTTGTTTTATTTTGAGCTCTAAGATCATGAAATAATCTTACTGAACTTTGACAGAACGGAGAGAAGTTTAGAAGGAAACCAAAGTGCACTTACAGAGAACTTAACTTTGATCAAGAAGAAATATAAATAATTGTGATAGCCGTAGTCAATAACATAGCAGTCAAACTAGTGAAACAACAGAACATGTTCAGTGTTGGCAAGTAAACCACTTGGCTAGTCCACTTACACTTTTCTTCTTAATGTTATGAAGATAACCTGCATTGGGTGATGTTAAAACTCGAGCTATCGTAACATCATACTTCCATGCATCTTATCATGGTATCATCATATGCTACATTAACTTTGTCTAACTATCCAGTGCTCATAATGTGTGTTCTAATCAGATCACGGATTCTAACTTACCAGCAGATGGTGGCTGACCTGAAGATGCAGCATATCCCAACTTCTCTTTCCTCAATCTGATATCATCCAATAGTTTCTGAGCAAAATCAGATCGCTTCGCCATCGATGCGCCCGTCTTCTTCGCTTCCACAGTCTCAAACGTGCTGTTGCACCGGAGAGTCCTCCATCGTCGTGAACTTGTGATCTCTGATGGATATCAGAATGATGGCACAGAGATGGCTATTTGTTTCGATCGAGTGTAGGTAGGTGAGTTATCTCTCTCGCTCTCTGCTTCAAGGTGAACTGCCCATTTCAAAGCAAAAGTGTGGGCCTCCTACTCGATTAGGAAGTTTATCTTGAACGCCAGATTTTGCAGCTGCTGCATGAGTGCGCCTGCCTTCACTCCTTTCCAAGCAAAGCAAGAGGCCCCCTCCTACCTGCGGGCTTCGTTTCAAAGCATCCCCGCTGGCTTCGGCACTCAGCTGAGGAAGTGGGGTTGAATCTCGTCTCTGGACGTTTAACATTTTTGCTCAAACGCGAGTCCAAGTGAGATGGGAGGTCTCACAAGAGGTGGTGTGCCGCATGCTTGGTGAATGCCACCGTCGACGTCACATCTAGCAGTTAAAGAGAAGCCTACGGGTTTCGCTCATCTGTTAGGGAGTATTGAGAGGTAAGCTTGAAGAATTTGTGTCAACCACTATTGTGACCAGCTTCAAATACATCGTTGCAGTGACCTAAACATCCGAGTGATATGGGCAGAGAGAGCCACACGGGATATGGGACCCGAAAAATGCATTTGAACTATCATGAAATGGATAGAATTGCAGACACTCGTTAATATTGTATCTTATGATTCATTACTCGTTGTAACATGTTTCTGGACTGGGATTCATCCTCTCATAGATAAAAAGAAAAGGAATGAATGTAAGCATATAAAATATAATATATTACTGTTATATATAAAAAAATAATATCAAAAATTAAAATTTAATAATAATAAAATAATAAAGAACTAATATCATCCTTATAGAATAATATTATTAATTTTAAGTATACAAATATAAATTGAAAGGATATCCAAAAAACAGTATCGTCATACTCTATTATTTGAAGTAGATTCTCTTTTGAGATTATATAAATTTCTTAATTATGTGTATTATTATGAATATTATTTTCTTTATATCATTTAGGACTAGTTTTTTAATATAATTTTATAAGTTATTGATCTAAATCACTTTGACGACTATAAGACCAATGTAATAATATAAAATATCTTATAAATGAGAAAAGACTTATTATAATTCACATCTCATAAGTCTATCATCCATGACCACTTTGATAACTACTATTCAAATAAAATTTAAGGATATGAGTTGCAAGTAATATTCATCAAATTTTTTCAATATAATTTATGTTGAAACCGTTCAATAATAATAAAAATAATAACCTAATAATTATAGAATATTAATTTATATAAAAAAACTCATATGATGATTATAATCATGATAAAATTATCTTTTATATGAAAAATAAATGTTATTTCATAATTTCAAGTATTTACATGTGAATAACCAACAAGTATTCAAGAACAATAATTATTTTTTTATTTATCATATGTAAAATTTTATCAATATATCATATAAAAATTATAAAATAAAATTATAATTTATATAATTTTAATTCTATGTGAAACCCTTATATCCATCAATCATATTTAATTGAACAAACCCGCTAAACATTAGCCCAATTAAGTCCGTCAAAAATTAAAATTGATCAAAATTTAATTTTTTTCAAATTTAATCAAAACTTGATTGGTTGAGTTTAAATCCTAACAAGCAATCAAAATACAATCATGATCAAGTCCAATCAAAACATTTAATTAAAATAAATCAAATTAATCAATTTTGTAATTGAGGACATAATTCAAAAAAATTTACCTAGGATATATAATTTTAATTTCTAAGGATAAACCTATAATTTTACTTATGATATATAATGAAATTTTTTTATTTTTAAAAGAAATAAATGAAAAAATAAATTTACGAACACAAATTAATTTTTTTTAAATTTTGAGAGGTAAAAATATCTTTTAAAAAAAATCTTAATTCTCACCTTTTCGACGATCACTACACAAGACATGTGATTGTCGTATACGTATGACTTATGATTGTCACTTATGCACCGTTTATGATTGTCACTCTGGGCGATGATTGTCACTAATGACCAACAATCTCTTCGATCATTGTGCGTTGTTGCACCATCATCACCCCTAAACCTCGATGATGGTTGTTGGGAGTGCTATTATGGCCATGCTTCTACTAGACTAATTTCATTATTTGAATGACAATAAGGACGACAAACTCAACTTAGCTCTAATATCAGGTAGAGGGTCACAAGCAAGGATAACCATGAGAGCACATGATTGATGAGGTGAAGTCGATAAGCATGATGAGAGAAGGAGACGATAATCAGAGGCATATATCGTAAAAAATAATGACGAGACAAAGACGACGAGCATGACGTAAGAAGAAGACCGAGACCATAAAAAAATGAACACTATCTCATAAAACAAATATTTTTTTTGAGAAATTGCTAGAAATAAATAACTGGATTCATGATATTTAAATGAATCAGCAAAACCATGCCCACATTTAGAGGCTAGAGAATCCTGTTATTGTGAACAAAACAATACCAAAGAAGGCACATTTCATACAAAGTGTCCTGTGAGTAATCATTGTCTTTCCCTACAGAAAAACACCTATCCTTAAAGAAGTCAACTTAAAAGATAGCAGCTCAATAAACAACACAAGATTATAGAGAATAGTAGATGGTGCAGACATATATGTTAGACAGCTTACAACAAAAGGACCCTAACAGACCTGCTATAATTATATATCCAGAATGTGAACTTCTAAACTTATCACTTTGAGGGACACATTTATTTTATAGGCAGGGTCATGAGAAAACAAACTAAAGTGAATATAGTTCATTGGAGTAGAGGCACTCATCCACAAGTTGACGGAGACTCGGATTCTCCAGCGCTGCACACACTCTCTCCTTGTCATTCAACAGCTTATTAACTGCAGTATCAATCATTCTGTCAGTATTTTTTTTAAAACATTAGATTATTGTTCTGTAGAGTGTTTATGCATTAAAATAGCATTAGCTTGTAGAAATAGATAACATATTCCTAGGTGAAAGATGAAGTATGCAAGTTTCTCATCCCATAGAGCAAACTTTTTCTATCATTTAAGGCAAAAAATGTTGGGTATTGATGAAAATAATGTAAGAGAAAAATGTTCTAGCACTTTCACTGTGCATGCGCTCCACCAGCATGTACTCCACAGGGAACATGTGGCTGCACGGGCTAGAGGAGGTGTCTTTAATATGATCGCATTGATATCATTGAAAACGAATCAGAGGCTGCATGTGGTCAGTAACAGCATAGCATGGTTTAGTCTTCGTCTAGTGCTCGAACCTTGGAAAATAAATGCTCTAAAACATGTCCAACTTGTATGGTCCATAGTGTCGTGCTTCCATCTTAGGAACAAGACTTATTCTCACTGAAGAAGAAACCATCCTTTGAGCTTACTGTCATTATAAACTAGTAACTTGACCTTGATAGGATAAAAAAGCTTAATTAACCACAATAGGTATTAGTAGTGTCTCTGACATTAAACACTCCTTTAGGTCTTCATCACAACACTCAACTTCTATACTATATGTTGTTTTTTTCCTCAGTCATGTAAGCATCCAGAAGCACATGCACAACCTGGCCTTTGTTGTGGACCTTATGGCAAGTGGTGCTCAGGTGGTGATTGAATAAAGAAAATCATCATTCTTTTTGTCATGGCTGTATACTAGAATGAGGTTTTTTACAATCTTGGGCACTGTTTTGGAATTTAACTGTCTAGAGCAATTAGATGGCAACCTTAGAACATGCACCACTTAATATTTTTATAAAACATATGCATTTTATGTATGTAAATTAAGGAACTTATTCACTGAACATGAATTCAATGTCGTTGGTGTATAAGCTAGAGAATTCATGCAATAATTAGCCAAAAATAACATAACTCCATGTATATTCACCATAATTCTAGTTCTAGGCATGTACCAGTGTATAAACATATTGAATGTAGCATAGTTCATGAACCCATTGAAAGGCCAAATATAACAGATCACTGTAGTCAGACTTTATCCTGAAGTAATGTTGCATACTAATTTTGACGAAAATAATATCTAGTCTTTTCTCAACTTTAACATGTAATCAGGTGATACATATTTTCCTTACGTGATACCAGCAATTAGGCAATAACAAAATAAACCATAATTTATTGTTATACATCCTTTTTATTCTTTTCAAAATTCAAAAATTACCATGTACTCCCTAAAATTGTCCATGTTCTTTACACATAATGCAATTTAAATTTTCCTATGAAAAAAGCCATCTTTGTTTTATTCAATTGATACAATCAAATCTTCCCAAAATTCTTCAAACGGAGCAGTTAATCCCATTTGAGGGGCACAATCATCAATCATATCAAGTGTCACCTCCTAAAACAAATTTTCCAATAGTGCTATTCTCTTACAGAATTCTTTAAACCTCCGTGATAGTCTCTTTAGAATCTTTTTTGTTCAGAAACACCCACCTTGTTCCCTTTTACACTTCAATCTTATCCCCACTTTGTTTCCCAGAAGCAGATAATGTTAATTCATACTTTATAAAAGAACACAACACAGGCAGATTTTATAACACTTGAAAGGTATGAACAAAAAACAATTACAACCACGTTACATAGATAAGAAATTAGTGGTCATAAGATGTCTTCTGCACTCACCTGCTTCTTCGTCCGCAAGAGATCCCGGAGATACATTGATATCAACCTGCATGTATAATTAACAAAAAGATTTAGCCATATCAAAAGAGGTTAAATAAGTGATACTTTATATGCTAAGACACTAACAACAACAAGGAAAACAAACTCCATTATCATTTGCTTGACAAGAATAAGCAAAATAAATATATCAACAACATACAAGCAATTTAGTATCTAAGAATAATAAGATCCCTGACCAATAAAGTCATATAAATATTTCAGAACTTTACATTTTACATCAATGCCTCACAAGCAGATAAACTGAATTTAAACTAAGCATTGCAAGCAACAAATATTTTTTGCAAGTGATATCCAACAAAAGCTCCAGTGCTTGAGCTAAGATAAAGAGTTCACAAAACAGGGCTTCTCATATTGATGTTATTGAATATGCAGCAGAAACCATTTCTAAAGATCAACCATATTGCCACAGAAGAAATTATTCAAAAGAAGAAGATAGTTAAAATGAGAAATAAACAAAGACATCCTTTGATACAGAACATAAAACAAATAAATTAAAGCAATTATTCAAAAGAAGAAGATGGTTAAAATGAGAAATAAACAAAGATATCTTTTGATACAGAACATAAGACAAATAAGTTAAAGCACCAGTACTTTCTAACTCATATTGCGATTAGTAAATATACCATCAGTGCAAGTGCTTGATTTTTCTTGTACTATTTTGACTAATTCTGAATTTTGTAAAGTTACCTAGAATCAAGCAGGGTTTAAGTTGCAAAATCCTTTTCATGAACAGTAAATACAAAATTGTCTACAAATGCAAAGTGGATAATACGACATCAACTGTGTTCTAACTATGGCTTTCTATATACATATGTGTGTGTGTATATATATACACATTATAGAAAGAATTCAAGCATTTCAAAACTGTTGCAAAGTCATAAGAACTGCACATAGTGAGAGTAAGTTCAAAATGACAACAAACCTTGAAATGTGGAGGAAAAGACTGAATTAACTTAACCCTTAGACACAAACCAATAACTGTGGCCATACTGCAGTGTTTAACCGTTGGAGTGAAGGTTATCCTACAAACATGAAGATATTAGCATAGTGAGATTAGATTTAAAAGTTGGATATTTTTTCATCATTCATGTGGTAAAATAAAACTGAGAAAAGATATGATAGTTGTACAAGATAATGCATATAACAATATTAACTTGCCCATTCAAAATCAAGAAAATGAGGGGAAAAAACAATCACAATAAGAAGCAGAATCAGCAACACATATCAAAACTAAAATTTAAATGTCATATCTATTAGTTTCTTGTCACAGTCTGCTCTGGTGAAAAGTTCGTAGGATCATTTATAACCTCCGTTCATAGTAACTTTTTAAGATCCACTTCCGTTTATGCATCCTCAATGGCAAATACCCCTACCTAAGCTTCCTCCGGTCATTGTTAACTCACCATCTGGAACCAATTAGGTCAATAACGGTGACCAAAGCATTTGCGAAGCTCACGACACAAACATCTCATTTTTTTCTTCAATTGAAGGTCTAATCCCCATTTCTATAAAGATAAGAACTTATCGCATGGTGGATCAACCGAAGATCGAGAAAAGAGTCTGCCTTTTTCCCATGTTACAATTAACTCACACAAATCACACGGTAAAATACTTTTGGTCAGAACACTGGCAATATAAGTGAGTGAAAATTAAAGGGGAAAGAAAAAGCCAGGTATGGTGGAATAGGGCGATCGGCACTCACTTGATGCGGCCGAGCTTTTCATCAACGGCGATGGATTCCTCCGAAAGAACGCTGAGCTGCTCCAACGAGTAAGGGTGCTCCGGGTCCTTGATATCCCTCACCGAATCTGATCACCTGAGTCAAGAAACAACTCCCGATACCCTCTAACGCCTTACGAACCAGCAGAACCCCAGGAAACCCAATAAAAGAATCGATCGTAAGAACAAACCACAACCATAGCAAAAAAATCCGAAGAAGACCCTCGAAAAGATTCATGATTTTGCCCCCACAAAGCATCAAGAAAGACCGAACAAAAGCAATTCCGTCGACAAATCGAGAAGAAAACAGATCGAGGAAGCAACCGGTGGGAGGATATCAAAGACATCGAGGGCATCAAGGGCGTCGTCGGAGTGGAGATCCTCCGAGCGGGCGACCCTCTCTTTCTTCGCGTGCACCACCGGGTGCGCGTTGATCATCCCCAGCGTCATCGCTTCGTTTCTCTCACTCTCTCCCTCTCCCTTCTCCTCGTCTTTGGAGCTTCTCGATTCCGTCTTCCGCGTCCCAACCGGTCGATTAAGTAAACCAAGACCGGTCGACTTGAGCCGATTCACGTGGCCCGCTAAGTGAAGGCCCAATAGGCTTAAGGGGCCTCTTCTTCCGGCCCTCGGGCTGGCTCTTTTTCTAGGGTTCGCCACAACGGGCGCGGACGCCATCGGCGATCGGCGGAGACGCAGGTGCGATCATTCTAGCCTGCTCCTTGTTCTGGTTCGCTTTCTTCCGCCCTCGCTTCGCCTTCTCTTCCTCCGCAGTATCAACTAATCAAAGGTTGCAGTGACTTCTTCCCCTCCTGTTGTCCTCAATCACTCCATCGTCAAAGGCTGATACTCCTCGATCAAAGGGCGCATTTGTATGAGAGTTTCCCCTTTCCTTTTCCCTTTGTTGCTCCAAATCTTTTCCCCTTTTGCTGTTGAAATGGCTTTCTCTTTTCATCTCGACTCTACCTGTCAATACGGAAGTTGGGAAGATTACCTGCCTACAATTGGTAGCCGAGCCCTTCTCTTCCGCTGCTGCAATCGGTACCATTCTCTCTCCTCTCCTCCCCTCTGTTATCCTCCCACCTCTGCTCTCCTCTCCTCTCCTCTCCTCAAAATCTATGTCCAGGAAACTTCTGGATGACGCACCAAATGAAAAGATGATGGTGATGTTATAGTTGTATATGTCAATCTTCTATATAGCTTTTGATGCTAATTAAACATTAGTGTCTCAAAGATGTTATAACTTTTGATCTTCTGCATATGATAGCCTTTGTAATCTTTATTATTATGCATATCTTTTGCTGCATGTTAAGCATAATGTGTAAGAAAATGAATCTTGCAAGTATAAAGCTTCAGCTGGTATTTAGAGAAAGTAAAACAGTACACAAGAAACTATAGTTGGATGTATCCATCAAATTTGATATTGTCCAAACTATTTATTACCAACCTGATTCCGCCAACCGCAAGCGTTTATCTTATTCATCGCAAATTATACATTCACAAATTCTCGATAGATTAGCACCGATACAGTGATTAAAAATGAGGAACTGAAGTGCTTAATATGGTCTTGCATGCATGTGTAAGTTCTATGTTTACTTTGGGTTTTGGCAATAAGCACTGCTTGAAACACCTCTTATTTCGAAAAAGTTTTTGTAGCCTTTTTCCGGTCATGAAATAGAACGCATGCACTTGGCGCAGTTTTAAGCTTATTCAGGGTTTGAATTCAAAGTCTGTACTGATCTTTCAAGTTAGCTTGGTCTCGAGTTCCTGCATGCTTGAACTTTTGTTGTCATTTCCTGGTTTAGGTCCTAGATATGAAATCATTAGAGAGTTCAAATTTAAACGATGGATGTTGATCTTCCTTGTATGGAAAGGGATATTAAATAATGGATTTTGGGGTCTCTTTCAGGGGCACATACAATGTCTCTATCAATCTTATGCAGAAGAGTGGGTCTCAAAGATCTTGTTTCAAATGTTACCGTCTATAGCGGTGCTAATGGTAATATTGTCACCTTTTATTTGTTGTCGAAGGTGCCAACCTGCTTTTAGATATATCTGATAGTGTATGGATTTGATTCAGAGGCATCTGGAGGGCTGAGTTTGATCTTTCGACGTTGGGCCACAAAAAAGACTGCAGGGTCCACAAAGAATGGACGTGACTCACGGCCCAAGAACCTGGGTGTTAAGAAATTTGGCGGAGAGGTATACGAAGTCGAACTATGCATGTTCGATGAGTGAAACCTTTGTTTGTCAGTCTCTGTTTACGTTCCTGTTTCTCCTGATGTTTATGTTTTTGGTGGGATGTTATGCAGAAGGTGATTCCTGGCAACATCATAGTTCGTCAACGAGGCACGAGGTTCCATCCTGGTGACTACGTTGGAATGGGGAAGGATCACACATTATTTGCGCTAAAAGAAGGTCATGTTCGCTTCGAGCGCCATAAGCTTAGCGGTCGGAAATGGGTGCATGTTGATCCAAGCGAAGGTCATGTTCTTCACCCCATCTATACAAATGCTGGCCTTGAAGCTGATGCAGAAAGTCGGTTGTGCTAGTGAAGCATTTAATCCGAGAGTAGTTGTTCACTCTGTCTTTGGAGAAGAGATTGCTGAAAGAGCAGACGTTAGAAAACTTTCTTTTATCTGCCTGTAATAACATTGCTTTGCTTTCAGTATGTTGACAATATGCTATCCTATCCTATCCTATCGGACAGATTAATCAATTCCTTCGTGGTTCAAAAGCTATGTTGTACTACATTTGGATTCGGTGTTTTCTCATTGAGATGCACAATAGAAACCGTTCCATACAAAATTCACTAAAATAGAAACTGGTTTTTAAATTGTGGTAATGATGTATGCATACTGAATTTGTACGGCGTTAAAGCAGCAATAATTAATGAAAAATTAGAATATTCTGGTGACTTTTAAATCACGACACATCACTGTATAGAGTGAAGAATTCAATTCTAATTGCTCGAATAAAAAAAGTAAAAGAAAAAAAAAAGGAATGTATTTATCCGCTCTACTGCTCGAACAAAATTAAATTTAATCGCGCCAGGTAGGGGTCGAACCTACGACTTTCTGCTTAGGAAACAGACGCTCTATCCACTGAGCTACAGGCGCCTTTTTGATATTAGTCTCCTCTAAGGTTAAATATATAATGTCTATATAACAATTTCTTAGACAATATAAATATTTATTAGATTCCTATGTCTGCTTTATGATCCAAGAACAATTTCTTTTGACCAAACAATAACTATCATGAGCACAGTCTGATTGTGGAGTACCACACTGGCTGCAATACTTGACAACTACAAACATTTTATGGATTATTACCCAAGACGAAAAAAAATGTGATTAGACCATAAGCATAATGCAATCTAGATGACACAATCTCATCCATGAGTCACAAGATCCAATTAGGATGGTTTGTTCTTGTCAAAATTAGTAAGAAAACTTCATTGTTACTAATGCCCATGTAGGGCTTTTTTTCCTTCAGCTAGTTCATTAAAGGGGTGCTTGCTGTGAGACACATTAACCTCCTATGGCTTTCAGTATCTTGAGGCTTCAAATTTCCCAAAAGAAACTAAGGAGTATTTTGCTTACCTATTTAAAATCCAAAATAACCATTTGTTTGTCAAAAGAAAAAAAAAAGGAATTTCTATTCTTTTACCATGTGGGATAATGGGACTGGTTGATGTGTCTCTCCAATTAGTGGTGTATTGGGACTTGGGAGGATAGCCTACACTCTCCATATCTTCCCCTTCCTCCCCTCTATACAGGATTTGCAAGACTACAGGAATGTGAAAAGAAAGCATGGTAAACCCTATTGGCCAAGCCATGAGATCAACGAAGTACAAAAAAAGACTATGTTCCTGTTATATTGCTCCTTTACTTTGGTTCATATTTAAAAATTTACTAGGTATTCAATATAAACCCTATGAAGATGGTCAAACCCAAACCCCCTTTAAATTTGTGTCAACCCTCAATTTTGTCACAATAATTTAGTGTTGTTACTCAGTTCACTTTTCTAAATTCTGTTAGTTTTGAAAATTCAAGTTGTTTGTTTAATAGCCTCGGTTTCAGGAAAAAATTAAAGGTAAAAGATATATAGGAACATAAACTAAGAACTTTATCCCACTAAATCACCTGGAAAGAATCAAATCAGCAGAAATGTAGTACTGAGCTATAGATGCTTCTTGAGCTATTATGAACCCATAACTATAGTAACCAGATAACACAACATACTATATAAATCATACCAGGTGGAGAAATGATTTGGTCTAAGACAGAGGGGATCATCATTTCAACTATTGGTCTTCTTGATGGCATACCCTTCACAGCATCCTTGCAAGCTATATCAATACTCTCCATCTAGAATAAAATGCAGAAAACAAAGATTAATCCTTGAATCATGACACAAATGCCTGAGAATTATAAGAAAAAGCTGTTCAGGTAATTAGAGGAACCTCCTTAATATGTGCGTGCAATAGCATAATGAAGTATATCAACAACATCAAAGTCACCTAAACAAACAGCCTAGAAACACCTTCTCGGGACGCAGATACAAGTGTTGGACATCCTTATCCTAGAAGATGAAAAATGAGATATTTTTCCAAGGAAAAAATTTTCTGTATCAAGGTTTTACCTCCTGGAAATAGACGACAATGTACCCAAATAAACAACACTATACAGGTGGTGAGAAAATAGTTGATTGTGTTCTTTGTTTATAAGTTGTTTTTTTTCCTTATGTACTGATGCAGAACATGAAGTCATTATGCAATACATAGCTCTTAAGTTGCAAAGTTATCGACTATGCGTATATGATGAAAAATGCAGAACATATGTCGAGGGAATTTACGAGTATATGAAGTCATTGCTGCCGCTGGGTTATTAATATGCAAAAGGATTTAACGGAGAGACGAAAGGAAGTCACCACCTTGGAAAGGCCAATGCGTCCTTCTTGGAGAACATAGATATCTCCGGATGGTTCAAATCGGTGTTGGGGCGCAAGAGAAGGTACCGTCCATCGAGACAATGGTGAAGGGCGAGGGGGATACCGGATGACGGAAGGGTGGAGGAGGCTCTGGAGGCAGCTACAGCGGGAGAAGCGGAATTCGGTGACGGCTGTGGCCGACGGCGTCCCGCTTCTTGTTCAAAGAGGCCGCGCGGAGGACGACGACGAAGAGACCGTCCTGCCCTAACGCCAGAAGCGACGGCCCATCGCTCCTCGTCTGATCTCAGATCTGTGGAAGTATATTCAGTAATTAAAATAATAATACATATATAAATTATGATACAAACAATCACAAGAGGTCCCATGGTCTAGTGGTTAGGACATTGGACTCTGAATCCAGTAACCCGAGTTCAAATCTCGGTGGGACCTTTAAATTTTTTTACACGCTTTTCTAAATTTTATAATTTTAGAGGCTTATAAGTGGAACATTTATTTATTTATTATTATTATTTTATTTCCACTGGAGGAATTTATACTTGTAGAGGTTTAGATTTTATATATATATATATTTCGATTGATCGAAAATAATAATCCTACCATATTTATATTCTATTCTTAGCTTTGAAGCGGCTTGTGCGTTGGCGTAAGCAGAGGCGCCGGCGGACACTGCATTGGTACGCCCCCCCTTGCGTGTAGCCGCACGAAAGCGTACACTGAGCGGGTCGGTCAGCGGCGGCAGGTGGGACCCGACTCGAATCGGTCCTGGAGGTCCCGAGAGACCGGACCCCACCAGTTGGTCGTTCGTGTCTACCTTCTCCTTACGGAAACTTTCGGGTCCCACCCACCGACCTTTTGTCCGGCGACCTTAAAAGCCCCAACCGACGGCTTCCCCTTTGCTACTCCGCTTTTCTACCCGTCTTTCTAACGCTCATAATGATAACACCACTCCTTTCTCTACCCTCCTCGTGGGTCCCACTTCCGTCTCTCGACTTGCGATCTCTCTAACCCTCTCATGCGCACACCGGAGAGCAGTGAATGCCACTGTGGGATTCCGAGTGTGACTGACTGCTTTCCGATGCAGGATTCAGCTCACATTGTTCACATGACACTGTGCACTTATTATCTTACCTTTAGCCTGTGATATAGCATGTACTACAGGTAAGAAGAACATTGCATGAAACGCCATATTCGACGATTGTAAACCTTTAATTCAAACTTGGGACCTCAAATGCATTATTTAATGCACTCATCATTACAATTATTTTCTATTATTATTATTATCTTGATTTGCCAAGCCATAAGGCTCATCATTGAGCAACCGTTGGTGTCCCACTTAACAGTGATACTGATTTTGGGGCACGGATCTTGACGCAAATCGTGCGGTGTGGTTTTTTTTTCTGGGGGGGGGAGGTGGGGGTCGTTGAGGTGTTCCGGCGGAGCAGCGAAAGCGTCCCCGACTCCCTCGTGCTTCTCATCTGCCAGCACTAAAGAAGGGATCCAGAAGAGCTCCGGGGATGCTCCAAATCCTTCTTGGTGCCTTTTGCTGTCTTCGGAGGTCTGATGTTCCGGTTGGTGTCGTTGAATGCGAGCTCGGGGGAGCCAATGCCGGATGTCGTGGTGTTCTTTTGCTAGTTTCTTGTTCTTGATTCAGCCGGGACTTCGTGCTCGGGTATTGGGAGTGTAGTCGTTGCTTTAGGAGGAAGTGCAGATATAGAGGGGGTTGCAGGACTGTTGATGATCGTTTTCTGGTGGTCTTTGAACAGAAGGTTGCGCGTTTTGGTGTGCAGATTCTGTCGGGTTAGGGTTTTTGAGGCAATGGTTCTTGCGAATTATTGTTTTTATCGAAGGCGGCGATGAAATTTAGTGTTTGTAAATGATCAATGCTTTCGATTTTTGTTTCTCGTCGTGTTAGTATAGATCGAGAAGAAAGTGTGAACGGGGAACAAAAGAGTTGAAGCTGTTAGTTTTTGCCGGTGAAAATGTAGATGCGTTCTTATATGTCCGCGTGGAGTTTAAGAACAATCCGATGGGTAGGTAAAGATTATATCTTTCGTCTGATTTGGTAGGTAAATATAGTAGCATTTTGTTAGCTTCAGTGAAGAAAGAAAAGTGTTCTGAGGTTGAGGTGGATCTTTGATCAGCGATGCCAAGCATTAGAGCTCCATCCTCAAAAAGGACTGCCAGCTTGCTGGTATCATTTTCAACCATAACAGCTTGTTCTTTCAGTTTGGGAATAAATTGTTGCAGAAGTATGATGATTTCTGCGAATTTTGCTGAATAGTTCCGTTTAACAGTTTGGTGTCTTTTGGTAGGTATCAGTAAAATGCAGGCCACTGACTGAAGCAGAAAGAAAGCGGAGTCGGCATATTATTCAAGTAACTGATGATAAGGTGCAAACTAGAAAATCTTTAGGTGTTTTCATTATTTTGGTAATGTTTCTTTTGATGGAGAGAATCATGGTAATTATTGTTTCTTGTGTTACAGAGCTTAACTGTTTTGGATCCTGACCTGTCGAAGGACTATCTTGAACTCATCCAAAATCGAACCAAAGAGAGAAGATATTGCTTTGATCATGTCTTTGGACCTGGATGTACTAATGCAGTATGTAGACTTCCCTGACTTCTTTTCTGTTTTTGTTTTCTCCTTTTCTTTTGTTTTTGGCTAGTGTTTCAGATTTTCTAACAGTGAACATGTAGTTTGTTCAACCAAACATTTAGAGGAATTATAAAAATACAATGAGGAGCTTACCTAGCCGGTGGCAGTAATTTGCTTGTAATTTAGCTTTTAAATTTGTGGATGTTACTTTACATGTAATTCAAATATTTTTTTCTTCTCATTTTTCAAAATACTGTGATTATCACCGCATGATAAACACTTATTGATGCTTAGTTAATCATGCAAAAATCATAAGTATCATTGCATCTAATAACTTTGAACTCTGTGGTGTCATTTATAACAGTAATGGCCAACAATGAAAATCTTGGTTCTTAATATATTTGTTACCGAACTCTTGAGTTGGGAAACTTATCCTTAAGATTATGACATTGGCCTTATTGAAATTTTTTTTTGCTTGTTTTGTTTGAGATAAAAGCAAAGTGTTGGCTTAAGGAAACTAATTATGATAATCTAACATGACTTCATCCAAGTTGTTTTCATTGTGGCAAATTCAACTGATGAAGAAACAGCTTTTTATGTTTCTTATTTATCACACTGATGAAGTTGCGGTAGAGCTCATGTCCCCAGGAAATCTGATTATTCACATAGTTATATCTACTGAAACTCTACATTTGATGGGAGCATCTAATAACATTCTTCTTGAAGACATCGCATCTCTGCTTGTGATATTGGCAGCCTTTTTCTAAAAAAGATTTTAAACTTCATATCCTTGTGGCAAAAGGTCATTCTTTTGGTAAAAATTTAAACAATATATTTCTACTCTTTGAGAGAAAAAGGAACTCTTTTCCTGTTTTAATATCTGTGATGATGGTCTAATTATATTGAAATTAATTTTGGAGAATTTTTATACCTTTGTACAAGTTTTGTGAAATTTAAGAAAGTCTTTTTATATCCATGTCATTGCAATTTTTAACTAAGTAGATTCTATCTGTGTATTGGAACTTTTGCACAATCATACCTTATGCTAGATTTATCCATTATCATTATTTTTCTGATTTTTGCAGGATGTTTATCGGAACATATCATCTACAATCGCTGGTGTGGTTCAAGGTTTAAATGCCACAGTATTTGCATATGGTTCAACAGGAAGGTATTTAAGTTATGATATGGGTTTGTTCATCTTTTTATTATGTGTCAGATGGAAAAGTGCTGTCTTAGATTTTTCAAGTCAGGGAAATTAGAATATCTTTTAAAGGGTAACACTATCCAGAAAGATCAGAACATGTTGTAATTAGAAAGGGCTATGTACATTGACAAAGAATTACTGTAATTCAAAGTCTACAGGATCTTCTTAGAGATATGATTGTGTTATTGAATTTTGTGAAAGCTAAATTTAACCACCAATAAGGTAGCTCTATATAACCACCGGATATTCATGATCTCTTTGTCTTAGATAACATATGTGCGTGCTATTTCTCATTTAATTAATCTTGTTTTCACTTTGCTACTTTGTGTGAATAGATAATTAATGTAATCTTTACTTCTCATTTTGTTACAATGCAGCTCTTCACTTTTAGTCACTTTGGGGCCTTGGGCTGTATTTGAGACACTTCCATTTTTTTTATTTACTTGAGGCACTTTGGATATAGGAATCTTACATTTTCAACCTGTTATACAGTGGCAAAACTTACACAATGGTTGGAACCCGTAAGGACCCTGGACTAATGGTTCTTAGCTTGCATACAATTTTTGATCTTATCAAGAAGGATAAGAGTTCAGACATCTTCGAAGTCTCTTGTTCTTACCTTGAAGTGTACAACGAAGTATAGTTTTGCTCATCTATGCCACTATTGCTGAATTATTATTCGTCTTGCTTGTGGTATTGCATAAGAAGCCATAAAAATTTTTTTCCTTCACCATGCGCAATTTCAGGTCATCTATGATTTGCTTGAAAAATCATCAGGACACTTGGAGCTTAGAGAAGACCCTGAGCATGGCATTATGGTTGCTGGTTTAAGAAGCATTAAGGTTCTTTTCTGCGTCTTTGTATGGATTTCTTGTTTGGGTAAATGATTACACTTCTCATGGCCATCCTCAAGGAGTTTCTCTGAAGATGCTTTAATAGAATCAATATAGAACTTACACTTACTTGTGTAGGTTTTCCTTAATCTTCTCTAGCTTGTATGTGTTCTTAATTTCCTCTCCATTAAGTTCTTAAACATCACAAGAAGCTTTATACTTTGACGAATTTAAATTATGGTGATTGTGGGCAACTGTAGGTAAAAGTAGTATCCGAAAATGCAAATCGACGAACAAATGTAGATGAGTATAACTTGAGTTGAACGTGATCATTACATGCTTGTTTTAACAAGGTTCTCTAAACTTCAGAGACTGTTGTGGTAGATCATAGTCAGCATCTTTTATGGTCTACCATGTATCTTCTTTTTCTTGGTTATGACCTTTTCCTAAGATAAGTATCTACCAGCTATAACTTCAAAATTTCTGAGGTATTATTAAAATCTGCATGCTCTGATTTAACTTCTCCATTATCACTTTTTATTTTTCTTATTTTCTTTTATTAGCAGTTTATTTTGATAGTTTTCTTTCTTTTTAAGTTCTCTTTTAATGGGGGATAACTTGCTGCCCAAATGGGGGATAACTTGCTGCCCAAATTATTTAATTCTACTTTTATCCTGACAGTTCATAAAGTGTCAATAAGATACAAATAGGGCTGAAAATAACCAAACAACTACTGATTCATTTTAAAATCAATGGTGGCTTCAAGGGCTTCATTATTATAAGGGATGCCCGACAGAAGGATTAATTTTTAACCACTATATTTTCCTACCAACTTCCCTTGATTTTGCTGTTTGCCTCTTTCTATTAATACCTCTCTGCTTGTTAACTGAATTTCCCGCTGTTTGAAAGCTCTCCTTAAGCCATGCTTCAAGAAAGTTCTTTTCTTGAATTAGTGAAATCCTGGTCATTTTTGTGGTGGTCTCCTCTGTCAAGTAGCTTGATTCTTATTGGTCCAATGGTAATCTGATTTCTAATTCCAAATGGATGAACTGCTGTTTCTTAATGATTCTTACCATGACTCCATTTCCTTATAATTGGAAACATTTGTTCAGTTGTCATCAATTCCAAGACAGCCATAATGCAATAAAACCTGAAGCATCTAGGAGTGTATATTACTTATCCCTCTGACCTGTGCCATAATTTACATAGAAGCTCTTTTTCTTCTCCATGGTTCATTATATTCTACTTCTGTAATCTGTTTGTGTTTGAACCATTATTAGGTGTTTTTGGCAGATATTAGAACATTTTTTTTATGATCCATTCTCCTCAGGTTCAATCAGCAGATAAGATTCTGGAACTTCTGAATCTTGGAAATAGCAGACGCAAAACTGAAAGCACAGAGGCAAATGCAACATCATCCCGGTAACTTTTTTGTCAAATGACTTTTTATGCATGCATACCTTTTCTTGCTGGTTTATGATGTTAAATCCCTAAAGAAAAGAGTTACTAACAGAACTGAAAATACTGCATAAATGCTCTGAAATCGATGTCACACTTGTTCTGCACACATATATTTTTGCTAATTTTACCCTCCCAATGAGATGATCAAATTCAAAATTCGAGTTCATGCTTATTTGACACTCTTGTAAGGCTTCTTAATATCATATATTGATGAAATTAGGCAACAACAATATATTATATAGTCACTTCACCAATCTAATCATTAATGTGCTCAAAATCTCCCATTGCACCAGAACTGTGCATGTTCCATTATTTTTTTTTCTTTTTTAAATTACATATCTTTATCGTAAAGCTCCTTGATGTCTGTTAAGATTGCAGTTTGTATTAGATCCAGAAGAAATCAAAGCTAACTACTGTTTTCTTAAACTTTTAATGTTTAAAGATCGCATGCAGTTCTGGAGATTACTGTGAAAAGAAAGCAAAAAAATCAATATCAGAGTCGGATCCTCCGTGGAAAACTTGCACTAGTTGATCTTGCTGGCAGGTAGATAGTTGCTTATGGAATCTACTTTTGCTTCTTCCAAATTGTAGATTAGAGAAACTTACAACCACCCCAAATGCAGTGAAAGGGCTTCTGAAACTAACCTTGGAGGCCAAAAGTTAAGGGATGGAGCTAATATTAACCGTTCACTGCTTGCTTTGGCAAACTGCATAAATGCCCTTGGCAAGCAACAGAAGAAGGGTCTAGCATACGTCCCTTATCGTAACAGGTATTTTTCTCCCCTTATTACAACAGTTATGTGGCTGGTTTTTCAAATACAGTTTATAGTAGTGAGTTAATATCACTAAGGTTCTTACAGCAAGTTGACCCGTATCCTAAAGGATGGACTTAGTGGCAATTCTCAAACAATTATGGTTGCAACTATATCACCTGCAGATGATCAGTATCACCACACTATAAATACACTGAAATATGCTGACCGAGCTAAGGAGATCAAAACTCAAGTTCATGTAAGGCTGCAGCCATTATTTGATTGATATAAGTACTTGAATCTTTTCCTGTACATGCTTCTATGAAGATTATATACTTAAATTGGCAGATAGAGAGATGATGTAGACTTTCCCTGTCTAACAGTCAACCCTTGGATTCTGATATTCAAAATAGTAAATTGCATCTATTTATCATAATACATGCTTAGAATTACAAAGCATGTTTACTTGTGTGGATAATCCCAATGATTTGACATAGAAAGAATGGAGCTGGCTACTAAATCGTCATGGTTATGGAGTTGGCTACTGAATCATTGCGGTTATGCTCTTCTCAGAAAAACATTGGGACAGTTGACACTCATCTTGCAGATTACCAACGAATGATCGATAATCTCCAGGTAAAACTATTGACAGAATCAGCCACACTTTTTTCTTGTGTTAAAGATTGCCTTAGAATTTCAGCTTCATTTTTTGTGCAGATTGAGGTTTGTCGCTTGAGAAAGGAGTTAGCTGAGAAGGAATCTCAGTTAAGCATCAAACCTGTGGAAAAAGCTGCAGATGATGAACTATCGTGGTTGAATATCTTGAGTCGTGAAACAGGTGAGAATGTACAGGAGCGCATAAATCTGCAAAAAGCACTTTTTGAGCTTGAGGAAACTAACATACGAAACCGCACCGAGCTTCAACATCTTGATGATGAGATTGCTATGCAAGAGGTTAAAATTTTTAATATTACCTTTTACTTATTTATTGCATTCTCCATTCATTCAAATAAAGATATGCCTCAATATTTTCACTACATGTTTGGCAACATCTTTGTAATAGAAAGATGCATAAAGAATGTGCAACTGTCTCACAACACCTTAAACTTGGAACCTGTGCCCATATCTACTTTAAAGTTATCTATTCAGTTGAGATTCCACTTACCACACCCTAAGAGAATTGGCTTTAAACTAAAAAATTGAATGATTGTTCAAGTGACAAACTTGGTTGTCGTGTATAAACTTGTCTGGAGCTTTCTTGAGAAAGAAAAGGTTATGGATTTCAAAGGGAACCTGAGTTAGACCATTGACATTTTGGCATTAGTCTGGGGACAACAAATTTGAGAGGTGTACTTTAATTTCTATCTTGAACCTTCTAGATACAAGTTCACTGATATTTGAGGAACCTGCAAACGTCTTGACCTGCCTATTTTGACCATCTGGAAGTTTTCTGTTATTTTATGAATTTTTTGCTCCATAATCTTGAGCTGCCGTGGTGCTCCTTTCCTTTACATATCTGGATTCTTTTCACAATTGAATCTATCTGTGATTTTCTTTTTCTGCCTGTGGGCTGACAGTAGACTGCAGTAGTTTTTTGAAATAATATTATGAGCAGACAATTCAGCAGATCTGATATGATATTTGTGCCATTGTAGTACAGTAGAATATAGCTATCAGGGTGAAGGTCTAACAGCTTGCTGTGGATTAATTCATGATCTATTTAGATAACTGATAATTAGCGAGCAAGAATGGTTGTCTTTGAGAAATGTTGATGTCATATGTCCAATTCTAGGTCACTTTTACTTCCATGAAAAGCTTGTTCTAAGTTCTTTGGCCACAATAAAATAAAAAGGGCAAGCCCTGTGCATAAGGCTTCTACCAATGTGGGGTTAGGAGAGAGCCAATGCTTGCAGCCTTACCCTTGGAAACCTTGGTGGTCCAGGCTGCATTGAAGTATGAAATACTTTCCGAACAGCTGTTCATGAGACAACCAAGAAGATTTCAGACTTCCTGAACAGCTGTTCATGAAATCCCTACATTTCAAATTTGTGGTGGATGCCACTTAAACAAGGGGAAACATATGATGATGTGTAATGCTCTCAGGCATCGGGTACAATTTTGGTCCTTCATGCAATGTGACATCTTGAGAAGTGGTCATGGGAAACAGTTGTGAAATTAATAGGAGAGTTGAAATATGAAATGAAGGATGTACAATGATACAATCTGCAAACAAACCTGACTGCTGACAGGCTGTTGCATGCCTGTTCCTGTAGGATATTGCCATCTAAAGTGCTAAATAATTTAGTATTGGTCTGTCTTGTTGCTGTACCAGGATAAAAGCATGGAGCGTTAAGCAATGTCATGGATTCACACCCATGATGCGGAAGTATGCCACTTTATATGGTGTCCCAACTTGTTTGTTGGGTTTTATTGTTTGTGGAGCATGGCACTTGGAAACACTGGACTGCATAGTGATCCTACAGAGACAACCCTTCATAATAATGCAATGTCTTTTTAGGAATTTTTTATATATACCTCCGGATTTGGCCTGCTAATAGTATGCTATCTGAATATCTAGGTTATAGAGAAGGATGGAGCAGTTGTGCAAGCACTAAGATCAAGGAGACAAGTTATTTTGGATAACATCCGTGACAATGATGAGGCTGGTGCTGGTTACAAGAAGGTTATATCTTGTCATCTGTTGTTGCATTGCTTATTTTAAAAACTTACTAATTAAGCATCTATCTCTTCAGGATATAGAGATAAATGAGAAACGACGATGTCAGCTTCAAGATATGATTGATGAAGCCATTAGTAACAATGGCAACAAAATTTATCTGCACATTCTTAGTCAGTACAGACTTCTTGTAAGCACTAAAATAATTCCCTAACTCATGTATATTTGTCGAGCAGTGTTTGAAAACTTATGCTTTTAAAAAAATTGCAGGGGATGGCAAATACTGAACTTCAATTTGAGATGGCAATGCGAGATCAAGTCATTCATGATCAAAGAGAATCTATGAAAAAAATTTGGACTGTGCTCTTGGAATTGGGGCTTGACCAAAAGCAAATAATGGATCTGGCTGTTAAACAAGGGATCAAAATAGAAGAATGTGCTACAGCTCAAGCAAGTTACCTGAGGACGTTGCAGTCACCGGTTATTTCTATTGTTGGAACCCCATCTTGTGTGTTATATCACAGCCCATGTTTGCAGACACATCCTTCTAATGCTTGCATCTTCCAACATCACCAAGGCTGTAGCTCCATAGCTTACGTCAGGTCCCAAATTGACAGTCCTACTGTCTGCAGAGAGGAGCACCATAGCTCTTATTACTTGCACTCTCATGATCACCCACACATGGCATATTCTGGAATGGGAGAAACAAGGTCAAGTGGAAGACCAAATCCATGTTTTTATACTCCTGAGAAACCTGCTCAGGAAGCATGGTGCTTCTGCTCACCAATGAATGCTCAACCATACCCATGCAGTAATGAAAGATCGGGTTCTGACAAAGACTTGCGGCATCACCCAAAGGTACTCATTCTGCTGGATAACTTACGTTTATCTTATTTCTTAATCACTGTTCAGATAAATGCTGTTGGAATTGAGAGTAAATGATACATTCATTATTAGGCTTCTGTCCATCCACGTCTTATTGGTAGTTCGTGCGTAATACCCAAGCAACCAGATCTTGAAAATTGAAATAGTAGCTGAAATTATTTGAGATTGCAGTGGCTGGAAACTATGATGGTTGCAACTGTTCTCCTATGAATCATTTTAGTAAATTGGAATGTCCTAACTGATCATCCCACCGGAACATAATTGGAAAATCAGTGGTCTTAAATTGTCTCCTAAACATCCTCATGGATTTCCAAGTTATGTTTTCACCATTTTATCCGTAGCTGGTGTCTTGAGGATGCCATAGCTTCTTTCTTACCAATGTATTTGACCTTGACAACAGGAAACATGTTTTGCAAGAAGGCAAATCCTGCAGGAAGAATTCCCTTCTGGACTGAGCCGCAGAAACCCGAAGGAGGAACTTGGGAATAATGGTGAATTAAACTGTGGATTACATGAGCCTCATCTTTTCCTCAACTCACTGACGAGGCATCCAGATTTTTCCAAGTCATTGCCATCCTCTGGAGCTGTTGGTGTGAGACACATTCCTGGGCTGTAATGAGCCTTACCTTTTATTTTTGTACAATAACCTTCTTCTTTTACTTTGCTATTTTTCCTATTTTCTGTAGAGTTTGCCACAGTGGAAGGTTGTAAATGTTAGTTAGATACATGTATAAGTGATTAATTGCCTGTATGTGATTGAATCTTTTAGTGTGATCAAGTTTGAATTATCCATTTTTATGTGCTTATACGTTGAAAGCTATATTGATTTCCAATAAAATAAAAATGTGAATGGATCTTGTGCTTGTACGTTTTCATGGGTCAGGATGACTTCACAAGCTGCGATTTATGTGGGACCCATATGAATGGACGATTTGATGTGGGAGTCGGACGTTTTCAATTTAAAATGTGGTTTGGAGAGGATCCACACCGAATCGACTGTTCAACTCGCCCGAGCTGCTACCGCTGAAAACCTTACGTGGGTCCCGCTGACCTCGGTGCTTTTCTCTCCAATCATCACGTGGGTAGGCGAAGCCTCGGGACGAGCTGCTCTTTCAGAAGCATCCCCGCCCTTTTTTAAGCGCCCCAAATCTCCGTATTCATTCACGTCCATCTAATTGGAACTATTTCCGCTTCGCGATCGCGGCTGTGGGCTCTGTCTATCTCGTCGGATGCCCAGACATCCGATGCTCCCCAAGGTGATTCTAGTAGGCGATTCTTTCCTTAGTTTCGATTTCCCCCTCGAATCTGGTCTCTACTCGTGAGACGTCGAGAAGGTCTAATGTCTGTGTTGTTTTTTGGTCGATTCGTTTAAAGGAATTGACGGACGTGATAGTTAAGGGATTAGGGCTCCATTCGGAGGACCTCAAGATCTCCGGGTTAAGGGACACGCTGGTGGGGCAGACGGTGGCGTAAGTTCAACATCGAGGTGGAGAAGAGGGTGATTCCCATCAGGCTGTTGGAGTACGTCAGCCGGTGGGATTTCGTCGGCCTCCCCATCTTTAGGGCGACGAAGGAGGAAGGGAAGGAGAAGAAGGGTCA